CGTAAAGATCTATTTGACGGTGTAAAAAGTTTTAAAATCGGTCAAGAAATAAAAGAGAAATGATTTTTTAAAGAAAAGTTCTAAAAGTACACTTGTACTCAAGTGTCCTAACACACCTGAGCTTATATATTGTTTATTAATGTACTCACATGCAAAACAAATACATTTTTGGAAAGTTCTCGCCAAGATCTATTTGACAATATAAAAAATTTTAAAATTGGATTAAAATTTTTTTTTTGAAAAATTTAACTTTAAAAATTGAAAAATTTAAACATCTTCTTAAAATTTCAAAAGTCAGGTGCACATGTCAAGATCACAATTCTATCATTCCTGAAAATTTCAAATTTCTATTTTGCGCAGTTTCTTCGGAGTAGGACAGACCGGAATTGCAGAAAAACGTCAAAAATACGTCATATATCGCGACCGGAAGTGAAATCATCAAAAATGAAAAAAACGTCCCGAGGAAACATCGTTCCCTATCTTCTCCAAAAGTTTCATAAAAATCCACTGAACCGTTACTGAGATACCGGTGTAGGAAAAAAAATAAGAAGAAGAAGAAGAAGAAAAAGAAACAATACAATAATAGAAGGGTCTTCCGCTGAAGACGGAAGACCCTAATAATAATAATAAAAGTGAAAAAGAAACAATAGAATAATAGAAGGGTCTTACGTTGGAGACGGAAGACCCTAATAATAATAAAAAGAAGAAACAGTAGAATCACTATAAGGTCTTCCGTCTGAAACGGAAGACCTTAATAAACCGTACAATCACTATAAGGTCTTCCGACTGAAACGGAAGACCTTAATAATAAGAAACAGTAGAATCACTATAGGTCTTCCGTTGAAAACGGAAGACCTAATAAGAAACACAGTAAAAACAATATGTTCCCAAACTTCATTTGGGGAACATAATTAATAGAGCCCTGGCAGGTCCAGATGTTCAAAAATCTGGAAAAAAATACCCTTCCTTATTAAACCATTTACTCTTTTTTGCCTCTGACATGCCCAGGTGCAGAGAAGATTTTTAAAGAAATAATGCATTTTTACTACAGATTCACTATATTATCAATAGAGCTCCCCTCCCCACCGAGAAACACCAGAGCCTCTGATCCTGGGACCAGAAGTTTGCTCAAAATAAGTAATCACTTTGTTTATCTGCTTAACACTAAGGAGCAGACAGGATTATTAAATAGAATTAATGCATTTTCACTATATTATCAAGAGCCCCACCCTTACGACAGCACATCTGACCCAGGGCTCATGCAATTCACTACTCTGGAAGAAGCACTCTTTCTCATCATAACTATACACATAGCTTCTTTGCTTTTTTACCAGAAGAAGAAAGGAATATTTTCCAAGAAATTTTGCTTTTTCACTATATAATCAATAGAGCCCCCCCCCCCTTTTCACCAGAGCCCTTGACCCTTGGGCCATGAAATTCACAATTTTGGAAGAAGCATCCTGGCATATCATAACAATGTACTTAGTTTGTTAAAATAATACCCAGGGGCAGAGAAGAATATTTTCAAAGAAATAAATCACCCTCACAATAGGATCAATATAGCCCCACCATAGCACCAAAAACCCTGTCCCTGGGGCCATGAATTTCACAATTTTGGATAAGGCATCCTTGCTTTTCATCACAATGTACTTAGTTTGTTTAAATAATATCCAGGAGCAGATAAGACGATTTTCAAAGAAATAATGCATTTTCACTATATGATCTATATAGCCCCACCCTAACACAAGAACCCCTGACCCAGGGGCCATGAAATTCACAATTTTGGATAAGGCACTCTTGCTCTTCATAACTATGTACTTAGTTTATTTAATACCCAGGAGCAGTGAAGAAGATTTTCAAAGAAATAATGCATTTTCACTATATGATCTATATAGCCCCACCCTAACACCAGAACCCATGACCCTGGGGCCATGAAATTCACAATTTTGGATAAGGCACTCTTGCTCTTCATAACTATGTACTTAGTTTATTTAATACCCAGGAGCAGAGAAGAAGATTTTCAAAGAATTAATGCATTTTCACTATATAATCAATAAAGCCCCGCCTTTTCACCAGAACCCCTGACCCTGGGGCCATGAAATTCACAATTTTGGAAAAGGCATTCTTGCTCATCATAACTATGTACTTAGTTAGTTTATTTAATACCTAGGAGCAGAGAAGAAGATTTTCAAAGAAATAATGCATTTTCACTATATAATCAATAGAGCCCCATCCTAACACCAGAACCCCTGACCTTGGGGCCGTGAATTTCACAATTTAGGATAAGGCACTCTTGCTCTTCATAACTATGTACTTAGTTACTTTATTTAATACCCAGGAGCAGAGAAGAAGATTTTCAAAGAAATAATGCATTTTCACTATATGATCTATATAGCCCCACCCTAGCACCAGAAACCCTGACCCTGGGTCCATGAATTTCACAATTTGGGTAGAGGGCTCAATGCTTATTACAACCATGCCAACAGTTCGACAGCTTGATGTCCATGAGTAAAGAAGAAGATTTTAAAGATAGCATTTATTTTGGTGGTTTTAGCCCCACCCCTCAGGCCCCGGGGGGGGGGGGGGGGGGGGCAGGGACCATGAAATTCACAATTTTAATCACCCAATCACCCAAAGATGCTAAATGCCAAATGTGGTTAAAATTTGTTGAGCGGTTTCAGAGAAGAAGCTGAAAATGTTCAAATGTTAACGCACATCGCACGACGAAGGACAAAAATGGATAGCAATAGGTCACCTGAGTGACTCAGGTGACCTAAAAATATGATGAGACACATTTGATGAGTATTTAATACTAATACACTTATTTCACAAAATATTACATACTTTGCACTTGCACATCAGTAGATGAATCACAAGCTGGTGAGACATGAGAACAAACAAGATATCTGTGAGCTAAATGCTGACTAGTAATACCCAGCATTGATTTGAATATAAACACTCTGAAGTGAATGTACCCAAGTCCAGTTACGGACAGACACATGGATGAACAGGAAGTTGACATCAGATTTGTATAACAAGAAGCCCATGGGCCACAACGCTCACCTGAGTAACTTTGGCCTAGCTGTTTTTTTAACTTGATTCCCCCCCCCCCTCCGTAATACTTATTGTGGCCCTGCCCTACCCCAGAGGTCATAATTTGAACAATTTAGAATCTACACTATCCCAAAATGCTTCTACATAAGTTTTAGCTTTTCTGGCCAAGTGGTTCTTGAGAAGAAGATTTTTAAAGATTTTTACTTCATATTTCAATGTAAAACTTGGATTCCTTATTGTGGCCCCGCCCTACCCCTGGGGGTCATGATTTGAACAATTTAGAATCTACACTACCTCAGGATGATTCTATATAAGTTTCACTTTTTCTGGCCCAGTGGTTCTTGAGAAGAAGATTTTTAAAGATTTTTACTTCATATTTCAATGTAAAACTTGGATTCCTTATTGAAGTCCCGTCTTATCCACAGGGGTCACAATTTGAACAATTTAGAATCTACACTACACCAAGATGTTTCCACATAAGTTTCAGCTTTTCTGGCCAAGTGGTTCTTGAGAAGAAGATTTTTAAAGATTTTTTTCTACATATTTCAATGTAAAACTTGGATTCCTTATTGTGGCCCCGCCCTACCCCTGGGGGTCATGATTTGAACAATTTAGAATCTACACTACCTCAGGTTGATTCTATATAAGTTTCAGTTTTTCTGGCCCAGTGGTTCTTGAGAAGAAGATTTTTAAAGATTTTTACTTCATATTTCAATGTAAAACTTGGATTCCTTATTGTAGTCCCGTCCTATCCCCAGGGGTCACAATTTGAACAATTTAGAATCTACACTACACAAAGATGTTTCCACATAAGTTTCAGCTTTTCTGGCCCAGTGGTTCTTGAGAAGAAGTTTTTTAAAGATTTTTTTCTACATATTTCAATGTAAAACTTGGATTCCTTATTGTGGCCCCGCCCTACCCCCGGGGGTCATGATTTGAACAATTTAGAATTTACACTACCCCATGATGCTTCCACATAAGTTTCAGTTTTTCTGGCCCAGTGGTTCTTGAGAAGAAGATTTTTTTATGACCTCACCCTATTTTTGTCTTTTCTTGATTATCTCCCCTTTGAAGGGAGCTTGGCCCTTTATTTTAACAACTTAAACTCCCCTTTACCCAAGGATGCTTTGTACCAAGTTTGGTTAAAATTGGCCCTGTGGTTCTTGAGAAGAAGTTGAAAATGTGAAAAGTATACAGACGGACGGACGGACAGACAGATGGACAATGGGTGATCAGAAAGGCTCACTTGAGCTTTTAGCTCAGGTGAGCTAAAAATGAATCCCACAATATTGCATTCCTTCAAACAAACAGTGTGCTAAAATTACAAGCATCTGCAATGAGCAGTTGCTGAGAAAACTGTGGTGAAAATTTGTTACCTAATGTACGGACATACGCACAGATAAACAGGAAGTTGACATCAGATTCAAACAAAAATAAATCCCCCCCTATGACATTCCTAAACAAACTGTATGCTAAAATTTCATGTATCTTCAATGAGTAGTTGCTGAGAAAACTGCAATGAAATTTTTTTAGGTATGGTACAAACAGATGCACGGATAAACAAGTTGATATAAGATTTGTACAAAAATGAATCCTACCATATGGCATGCCTAAACAAAGAGTGTGCTAAAATTTCAGGTATCTGTGATGAGTAGTTGCTGAGAAAACTGTGACCAAAATTTGTTATGTATGGTACGGACAGACGCACGGATAAACAAGAAGTTGACATCAGATTCGTAAAAAAAAAATGAATCCCACCATATGGCATGCCTCAACAAAGAGTATACATGTACTACAATTTCAAGCACCTGAAAAGAGTAGTTGCTGAGAAAAGTGTGACGAAAAATTTGTTAGGGATAGACAAACACACACACACACAGACAGACACACATGGGTAAAACAGTATACCCCCCTCTCCCTCGGAGTGGGGGTTTAAATATACTCACACATTGCACTTGATATTCTTTTGGCCTGGCATATTTCTTGGTACAAAAAAAACATCATAATTCATATTTCCTGTAGTAAGATTTTTCCCAGTAATGGTGATGGTCCTGCCACCTGATTTGATTGTTTTATGTGGGTGTATATCTTCTATCAATGGTTCCTTCAAAATGTTATCAAATTAAAGCCATATTAAATTCTAACAAATACATGTACACCCCATGCACTTCATGTATTTGCAATCATAAGCAGCACTATTACGATTTTGCTACATGTACATGTACTACTGTACATATATACATCACTCCAAAGTTCAAAGCCTGATGGAAAGAACCAAATTGCAAAAAATAATTATACTGAATTAAGTGACCTAAATACTGTGAAATCTTGTACATGCATTAAAGACTTGAATTACATCAAAATCAATTTATGAAGTACATGTGTGTCACACTTCATGTCAAATTGCATGCATGCGAAAAAACACACTGTATAGAGTTCTCGTGGTTTTATTTCACTGTAAATAAATCTCAAACAAGAGGCTTATGGGCCAAAACACTCACCTGAATATAGTAAAACAAGTTTATAGCGAACACGCTTATAATGAAGTGACTTATAGTGAAGTGATATTCATACCCCTTGATTTTAAAATATATTGAATACTTAATGAATATAAAGAATTACCATACATATTAACTCTACCGCTTTAGGCGGAAGTCTATCGCTTTTTTACTCGATCTCCAGCTTACCTCTTTTATTCGTAAATCTACGCTTTTCTACAAAATCTATTTTTGGTTCGCTTGGGTAGCCATTTTTGAAGCCACTTGTCACAAAATCTCGTTACATATTGCATGATTTGAACAGAGAACATTAAAAAAAAACAACAGGCCCATGGGCCACATCGCTCACCTAAGTAACTTTGGTCATGCTTTCTTTATCAGATTTCCCCCCTTGTAATACCTATTGTGGCCCTGCCCTACCCCCGGGGGTTATGATTTGAACAATTTAGAAATCAAAACTACCCCAGGATGCTTCCACATAAGTTTCAGCTTTTCTGGCCCATTGGTTCTTGAGAAGAAGATTTTTAAAGATTTTTCCTATATATTTCAATTTAAAACTTGGATTTCCTATTGTAGCCCAGCCCTTCCCCCAACGGTTATGATTTTAACAATTAAGAATCAACACTATCCCAGAATGCTTCCATACAAGTTTCAGCTTTTCTGGCCCAGTGGTTCTTGAAAAGAAGATTTTTCAATGACCCACCCTATTTTTGTATTTTCTTGATTATCTCCCCTTGTAAGGGGACTTGGCCTTTCATTTTAACAATTTAAACTCCCCTTCACCCAAGGATACTCTGTACCAAGTTTGGTTAAAATTGGCCTAGTGGTTCTTGAGAAGAAGTTGTGAAATGTGAAAAGTTTACAGATGGACGGATGGACAGACGGACGGACAACAGGTGATCAGAAAAGCTCACTTGAGCTTTCAGCTCAGGTGAGCTAAAAAGTTAATGATGAGGACAATGACAGCAACAACAGACAAGAGAAGAATTTTGATCAGAAAAGCTCACTTGAGACTTCGACTCAGGTGAGCTAAAAAGGTTAGCAATTTTACCTGGTAAATGAAAAATACATCATCTGTTGAACTCAGGCCATCTACTGTGACAGTAACCTTGCCAGATTTTGGTGAAGTTTCTCCAGTTTCACATGTGATGCTATGAAAATAAATTACAACAAGAGATGTTTGTGAAACACTTATAACACCCCCCCCCCAATAATTGGAATTTTTCTAAGTCCAAGAGGCATAAATCTGACAAAAATTGCTCAATTGTACCCAAAACAGAATTTGATCTACATGTAGACATTTTTATGATAAATCTGTATACCAAATTTCATTTCAGTATGTGCAACCTCTGCAAAGAAAATGAATGGAAACTGCAAATAAATGGAATTTTCCAAAGTCCAAGGGGCATAACTCTGTCAAAAATTGCTCGATCGTACCCAAAACAGAACTTGACCTAGATATTCTTATGATAAATCTGTATACCAAATTTCATTTCAGTATGTGCAACCTCTGTGAAGAAAATGAACGGAAACTGTTGGTGGACCGACAGACAGAACAAGGACTGACAGACAGCAGCAAAGCAATATGAGTACAATGACAATTAAAGTTCATGTTTTGTTATGAGAAAGCCCAAATATCTGTCAGATCAAAATGTAAAATAGGAGGTTCACAATGGCACTATGTAGTAAAGATTCTAGGAAAGACTCATTGAATTTTATTCAGCGATATAGAAGGAGTTGCAGATAAGAGATTGGTTCCCCATATATTATAAAAAGAAGGCTGTGTCTTTGTTTTGTAAAATTGTTACAGGAAAGCTCAAATATCTGTAAGATCAAACAGAAACAGGAGGTCACAATGGCACTATGTAATAAAGATTCTGTAAATGTCTCTTTAAATTTTATTCAGTGATATAGGAGGAGTTCCTGATAAGAAAGGGGTATACCAAATATTATAGAAAGAATGGAAGTGTCCAATGTTTTGCTATGGAAAACCTCTATGTGTCTGATCAAAATGCAAAACAGGAGGTGCACAATGGCACTATGTAATAGATTCTGTGAAAGTCTCATTGAATTTTCTGTGAAAGTCTCATTGAATTTTCTGTGAAAGTCTCATTGAATTTTATTCACTGGTATAGGAGTTGTGGATAGGGAATGGGAAACCCGAGTGTAACAGAGATGGACGACACCCCCATTACCATATACCCCCACTTACCAAGAGGAGGTATAATAATGATTATACAAGAAGTCTGTGAGCCAATGCTCACTAATAATACCTCCGCTCTGATGTGAATACACAAGTTCAGTTATAGACAAACACAGTGATAATCAGGAAAGTGACATTGGATTAGTAAAAAATGAATCCCACCATATGGCATGCCTAAACAAAGATTGTGCTAAAATTTCAAGCTTCTGCAATGAGTAGTTGCTGAGAAAACTACGACCAAAATTTGTTATGTATGGTACGGACAGATGCACGGATAAACAGGAAGTTGACATCGAATTCGTACAAAAATGAATCCCACCATATGGCATGCCTAAACAAAGATTGTGCTAAAATTTCAAGCTTCTGCAATGAGTAGTTGCTGAGAAAACTGCGACCAAAATTTGTTACGGACAGACAGACACACAGACAGACAGACAGACAGACACACACACAAGGGTAAAACAGTATACCCCCCTCTCCTTCGGAGCGGGGGTATAAAAAATATCATCCTTACTGGGGGCAGTAAAGTCTTGGATATGAAAGTATATTAAATTCATTTTTCTTTTACTACATCAAAAGAAGACCACTTAATAGAAAAAATATATAAGGCTTATATTGTCAATAGATCAAGAATATGTTGTTCTGCATATAACTAACACATAATGACCTTTTCTTCACTTCATTGTGTCATTTCTCTCTAACTTCATCACAAATGACTAAACTGTATCTACTTGTATTTAACATGTATCAGAAGAGCCGATTCCATTACTTTTCCAATTTAACAAGGGTACATGTACCAAGATATGCCATCTTCATACAGATTGGAAGAGAAATATTAAAAAAAAATTGTTCAACCATTTCATCTCCTAATTTTACTAGGAATAAGAAGTAAAAAAAGAACAGATGTGGGTTATATTTACCTCCTACTCTTTAGTTTGGTATTTTTACATTCCACACCACCAATAGAAACACTGCGTGGACTTTTATTTATTCCAAAATTGTATCCCGAGATTGAAACTTCTGTTCCCCCACAAACAGGACCATTTGGAGGCGAGATCTAAAGTAAAATCCACAGAACTACAAGTCTGGGAAAAAGAGTTAATTGCATTATTTACCAGCTCTTTACATCACTACTTGACTAAACTTGACTGTACACTACATGGAGATGCTATTAATATGACTAACTAAACTCTGCAGGTTTTCTTAACATTTTCAAGATTTTCTAATAATTGTAACATATTCTTATGAAGAACATTGGGGGAAAAAGGTAAATTTAAACAAACCCCTGTGACAATAGGTGTCCCACATTGTTCTGTAGCAGGGCACTGCTGATTGCTACCAGAATCATTTACTACACATCCGGTTACTTTACACCATCTGCACTCGTAATTCTGCTCTTCTTTCAAATATTTACAGGTGCTGCAATCTGTTGTCACAGGGGACAAGTACTCACATTTATACACTGGAAAGAAAAGTAATAAAATTCAAAACTTAAATTCTACATACAAATATCAAATATTCCCTCATATTTAAAATACAGTTGCCAACACCATAGAATGAAAAATCGTAAGGATAAGGTCCAAAGGCTGATTAGGCCATTTTCATTTTGATTACTTTAAAACGATTTAAATCACAGGTTAGCACAGAAATAGACAATGAGATTGCAATATAAGCAAGTGCAGTAAGCACTATGACTTTTGTATCATAATGTGAAGACTGAAGGTGGACAGCTACGAAGATACTGGTATTTCAAACTTTTGATGGAGAGAAAGGGAGATAGTAAGGGTGAATAGATAAATCATACGGCATATTTTAGACGCTCAAACCATAAGCCTTATGCCAAAATCGTAAGGGTTGGCAACTACGAACACCATTCTTTCTGGTCTTAGGTGAACTACTCAACAGTATATACTTGAAAATAAAAGATGAATTCCACCCTACTGCTACATTTATTTTTCAAGGAAAGAGACTGAGAATCTAAAAAAGTAATTTTATGTGACATCAATCTGGGAAAAGAAATGCAATTTTAGAACCTGATATCTCAGCATCCCCTTCCAGTGTCTCCAACGATACATTAGGGCTTGCTGGTCCATAAGTAAACTGAATCTTTCTTTTTATGACATCTTCTTTTCCAGCATACTCTTCCTGTTCCAAAGATATACATATATGATAAATCATTTTAAAATCTTGCACATCCATGTACAGTGAAATGAAAGAGATTGTTAATTGAAGTGAATCTGGAAAAAAAAAGTCTTGACATTTTTCAATCTCCTTTGGTATAATTTACTGATCCTTTTTTAAGTTTAGGAGGAACGCATGGACGGAGGATGTCGGTTTATCTACCGACACTTAGTATCTACCTGTCTAATTGCCATGTCTCCAACCGTACAGATGACTGACCGTTATTAAAACAAATCATTATCAGCTGAGCGGACCGTACTTCAAAATAAACAGTAATTCAATAATTAAAAACAATTTCGATTAATTTGATATTTTATCCCAGAGGAACATACACAAGGGATTTTGTATTTTTTTCTGGATTCTGAGAGCTTGGAATGTATATATTTTTTGGCACTCTTCCATGTACAAGTGCATGTACTTACATGCATGTTCCCATAAAATTGTGTCATGGGGATATTTTGTTTGTTAGAAGAAATAAAAGAAATATAGAAAATAATACAAACTCAAATGCAGGGTTGTCCTTAAGACCCAGGGACTGGGGAATTTCCCCACCTATAATGACATAATCCTCCTGTTATTCTGGTATTCTCCCTCAATCCCCTTTTCCCCTTCTACATTTTAAATGTCCCCTGCTATTTCAATTCAAAGGGAAGTCCCTGTAAATGTACTAAATTTTATTTTCGATATTCCTGACAATACTTGATATCGCGATTACTTATCTTTATGGAACTCTTTCGCGGTGAAAGTAGGAAACATCTTTTAGCTGGAGGCAATGTGCTGTTACATACAACACGAGATTGAGCACTGTGGATTTTCAAAGGGTAGATATGAAAGAAGTCCTGGTGAAATATCTTGCAGAACATTCGCTGAACCACGCTAATATTTTTAAGAGAACCCAGTCCTAAAGTGTTACATTTTTATTGATACTTCTTTGAAGTAAGCCGACTCTTTTAGGAATTCTACCATTTCTGTCTGATTATCATTACTTTTGGAAGCTGAAAACTCTAAACATTCCAAATAAGACAACCTACTATTTACAGTTCAACCATTTGCAATACATTGCACTTTCTGCTTTTTAATTGTTCGAATCATTCGACTGTCACTAGCATCGTCACTAGCATGCCCTGGAAATCTCACGAGATTTAGAGTTTCTCTGACTTCACCACAAAAGAGCAGCATTAAGTTAGATAACTGTGAGGTAATCGCGATACAAAGTGTTGGAAACGTCACCTTCATTTACACTTATCGTGCATATATACATGTAGTTTTGTGTTCGTGAAACAAATAACAACTTGATAAATTATAACAACTTGATAAATTATAACATTAGAGAGAGAAATAAATTGTTTCTTAAACATGCAAACCTAGTTTTTGCCCTGTCCGTCCATCTGTCTGTCTGCAAAAACTTTAACCTTGCCCATAACTTTTGATTGGTTGGAGATATGGCTTTCATATTTCACATGTGTATTCCTTGTGACAAGGCCTTCCTTTGGATACCAACATATTTGACCTCTTGACCTTGGAGTTTGACCCACTTTTGCAAAAATTTGCCGAATTTTTTCTTTTGAACAGTTGGTGCTAGAGATTTCATATTTCACATGTGTATTTATCTTGACAAATCCTTTCCATGGGTGTAATTTTTTTTTACCTTTTGACCTTGACCTTAAAGTTTGACCCACTTTTAAAAAACTTTAACCTTGACTATAACTTTTGAACAGTTAGTACTAGGGCTTTCAAATTTCACAGGTATATTCCTTGTGACAAGTCCTTCCTTTGGATACCAACACTTTTGCCCCACCCTACCCCCTGGGGTCATGAATTGAACAAATATGAATCTACACTACCTGAGGTTACTTCCATATAAATATGAACAGTCATGGCTTTGCTGTTCTTGAGAAGAAAAATTTTAAAGATTTTTCCTATATAATGCTTTTTATATAAGTCTTTGATGATTCATTGTGGCCCCACCCTACCCCGAGGAGTCATGATTTGAACAAACTTGAATCTGCACTACCTGAGGATGTGTCCACATAAGTTTCATCTTTCCTGGCCCAGTAGTTCTGGAGAAGAAGATTTTTAAAGATTTTTCCTACGTATTGCTATGCAAGTCTTTTATCGTCCATTGCGGCCCACCCTACCCCAAGGGGTCATGATTTGAACAAATTAAATCTACACTACCTGAGAATGTTTCCTTACAAGTTTCATCTTTTCTGGCCCAGTAGTTCTTGAAAAGATTTTTAAAAGATGCCATTAATTTTTACTAATTTGTAATTATCTCACCTTGGAAGAAGGAGAGGCCCTTAATTTGAATAAATTTGAATCCCCTTTACTCAAGGATACTTTGTGGCAAGTTTGGTTGAAATTGGCTCAGTGTTTCTTGAGAAGAAATCGAAAATGTTAAAAGTTTACAGATGGACAGACGGACAGATAGACAAAATGTGATCAGAAAAGCTCACTTAAACTTTCAGCACAGGTGAGCTAAAAAGAAATTAGGAAGACAAAGAAATTTTAATTATTTATAGCTCTAAAAAGATGAAACATAAACGCATACACAATAATTTTTTTTGGCCACTCATTTCAAGAGACTGCAAATACGAATTTTTTAATATGTAAATAGACATCACCACATTAAAATTCACATAAGACTTCCATTTGCAGTCTCTTGAAATGAGTGGCCAAACCATGACTTCGTTCGGGGTGACATAATAATCTTAACCAACAGAATCAGTGGAAGGTCTTCCATTAAAAGAAGGAAGACCTTCATTACTTCTGTAATCTGGAGAGCTGTATTTTTACACAATTAATGTCCTTGGTTTTAAAAGATCACTTATGCAGTGTACTGTCGCCCATGTGACGCAGTGGTTAGAGCATCTGCTCTAGAGTCGCAGCGTAAGGAGTTGATCCTTACATCGCGGGTTCGAGTCCCACTGTGGGACGTGGAGACCGGTCCTTCGGATGAGACTGTATAAACCGAGGTCCCGTGTTGCAGTAGGTGCTGGTACGAAAAAGATCCCTCACTGCTCAATGGCCGTAAGTGCCGAGTATAGGACAAAATTTGCAGCTCTCCACCGGCAAGTGGTGGCATCTCCATATGAGTGAAAAATTCTAGAGGGACGTTAAACAACATACAAACAAAAATATACAGTGTACCTTGACTTCTTTACATGCCAGGTTTCCTCCTACTTTTGCCGCTGTGTATTGTCTTCCTTCAACATGGCATTGATATGTGAAATTATCCTGCAATAATCATTAATTTTAAACACTGAACATTTCCTTAGGATTGTGCAAAAAGATGGCATGATGACTAATATCTCAGACCTTATGCATCACATCATATCAAAGAGATAAAGTTTTAGAAATTTTCAATTGGGGTTTTTTCCTCATAAAAACATAACATTCTTGTAGTTATTTTTAAATCTGTCATACATACTGGCAGGTTCTTGGCCCCAAACTCTAAATCCATGGGAACTCCATTGGGTATCATTTCAATGTGCTTATTGATTTGAGGACAGTCTGATACCTACAAATGGAATACAACTAGATTCAGTGTTTTGCACAAGATACAACATAACATGATTTTTGGTGATTCCTCCTATATTAAAGAAAAGAACCTAAATTTACATTTGTATTGGCTTCAAACTAAGAACATTTAATTGTCTTGGAAAATTTATTTATAGACAATATTATAATTTTTATCTCAATATCTCATATCAAAAGGTTTTATTTTACTAAGATTACATCAATTTAGATACATAAAGATTATCTATGTTTAATGTTGATTTCTGCAGCAATCATTAATTACGATTATTTAGCATTTCCCATGTGACTCAGGCATTTATTTGTAAATGGTGTGGTCAAGACTATGACAATTTCAGCATGACTGTACTCTGAGTTGTGTACAGTATGCAGGTCTTCATTTCACACTCCGAGACTGTCTTAATACCCAAAATATTAAGAAGTCATAGCTTGATTTATTACTATTGTATTTCCTTGTTGTTAGATAAACAAACACAAATAATAATTAATATATAGATATATTTTGTGTTGAGATCAACACAAAATATAAAAATCCAAAATCTTATAACACAATATTTGAATTATTACATTTGTGTTATTACATTTGGCAGCAAGGTCAATGCAAAATGTAAAAATACACAGTCATTTTTGGATTATTACATTTTGCATTGAAGTTATAGCAGAATGTAATTTTGCAGAAAAAATAATAATCACTTAATTATTATCTCTTCAAATAAATGCATTTATCATAGAAAGTGGGAATACAGTATATTGAAATCAATTAAGTTTTCTTTATATTAAATATAATTTTGACTTCCTTATCCAAAATATTCATAAATATCCTGTTGATATATGTTTTAAATTGAACCTGAGGCAGGGTTTCTGAAAGAAAATGTCATAATCCTTGTTAGTTGCCATAACAAAATTAGACCATGTTTTATCTTTTGGATGTTTTCTTCTTTTGAATCATTGTTTAAATTTGATTTAATTTTATCTACAATTTATATGCTAAAAGTTTCTGTTATGTTTTATCATATATTCGACTTGCTGTACCTTGGGCTATTGTCTCTCCCTGAATTTGGATGGATAATTTTTTATCTCTAGTAACACAATTACTTCCATAATAATAAAATTTGTGTAAATTTCAACAAAGAATTTTGTTACCTCATCTAACATTGACATCTCAAATACCATGGATACGTGTCAAACATGATTTGGAAGTCCAAACCACATTTTCTTTATATGTTTTAACCTCAAATATCTAGAACTCTGGGATATCTGAAAGTTTTTTTCTCTATCTCATCAGATTTGAGATAATGAGGTTTGATTGTATGTAGAAACTTAGCTTTAATATTAACCCCTTAGAATAAACTGAAGATTATTTTTTTAAGTAAATGAAATAAATGTACATTTTACATCATTTAGTTTCTCTGAAATTGACATTTCAAAAAAAGTACTGGAGAAAGATTCTGCAACAGAGACATATCTCAAACCTTTCAATATAATTTAACTTTCTTAGCTGGTTTAAATCATGAAGGTCTAAAATAATAAACAATTGATAAAAGATAATAATAGAAGGAAACATGACCCACAATCCAAGTGAAGATTAGAGACATTTTCCCCCAGTATCTGTTAGAAAATTGCCAATTTGTTAAAAAAAAAAACAAAAACAAAACAAAAATATAAATAAATAGTTCACAAATACACGTAAATAGATTTTATTGACATTAAGAAAGTGTAAAATACTAGTCTAAGAGACAAAATTCATTGACAAGCAATCTTGTTTTGCATTAAAAAATATTGCCATGACAGCTCATTACAAGTTTAACCAAATGCATAAAAAATATTTACATTACACATGTACTTTGCTTATAAAGTTGTGGAAAACTATGACATTCAAAACACCATAACACTGACAGGGGGTCAAAAGGTTAAGGTATGCATTTTATTTTGAGGTTACAAATGCTGAACGCCATGGAATTGCAAAGTCATAAGTGAATATCAAAATTCACGCTCACATTAAACAGTAGCTGTTGCAATGGCTCTTCCATTAATTGTAACTTACCAGAAGGATAATACAAGGATTTTGAAATATATATCACATTTGCAGTCAAGGCAATGAGTTAAAATATGTAAATATAAGCATTGAATCATTATTTTTTAAAAGATAGTCTAATAACTGTAACGGTGTGTGCAAACAAATTTTCATAACGCGTTAATTTTTTGCACACAATGTTGCAGTTATGAGACTTTATTACATTTTCAACAGTGAAATACTGTAATTTATTTACTGAATAAAAGTGATATTCTGACATAGTGTGAAAGGATATCAAAATGGTATTCTCACAGTGTGAGAATATCAGAAGTGCGGCAAAACTTACAATTTTCCTTCCCTTCATGATTTTTTTTTTTTTTTAAATCCCTGGTCTGGTATAAGATAGAGTTAATGAGCCATCCTGACAAAGACTAATAGTTATACTTCCAAAGTTTTTCCAAATATGTCATTAAAATCTGTTTATGTTAACAACCTTTTCCAATCTCACAATCACTTAGCTATGATGTCTCAACCACTCAACTATGACATCACAGCCTATGACACCCTGTCACAAAAAGACAGAGGCAAAGGGAAAATCTAAGAAAATGTAACAAACAGAAAATTCAATGTTTTGTAGATGAATATGGAATTAAGTACATTTCTCTTTTCTGCTTGAACTTTCAATAATTAAGGTGTGACAATCTCGGCTATACATATATAATTAGCGTCTCTCAAATAGTGACCTAGATTCTCATTGGTTGCCAGATTAGCTCAACAATACTGAAATTTACACAGCTTTCATTAACAGGTGAAATACACATGGGATAAAAATGGGTCACACATCAACGAGTGACGCAAGAAACCATTACATCGCTTCTTACAATAAAGAGGTGTGGGTTTATGTCATCTCATCATTTGTTAACAAAAATCTAAAGTTGTTAATGTTATTCATTTCTTAACCAATGAGAATGTAGGTCACCATTTGAGAGACGCTAATTATGTATAGCCAAGAATGTCACACCTTACTGAAAGTTCAAGCAGAAAAGGGAATTGTACTATTTCATTCATGAGACAGGATTTTTTTTTATATTTTCACTCATGCCTCGCACTCATGAAAATATAAAAACATATTCATCTACAAAACACTGAACATCCTCTATATATCTTTCAAAAATTAATGATTCAATGCATAAACGAATACCAGTATTATATAATAATCTTCATCTTCTCAAGGGGCACAGTCTCGATCTGTACCCAAAAATCCCAGGACAACTATAAATCATCTGAGGGTGCATTCAAGAGCATAGCGGCCATAGCCTGTATGTAATGCTATGATATTGAATGTTAAGCTAGCCTAGCTGTTACATAGGGAGAGCTAGCATAAATAATTGATGCCAAGTACCAAATCCAAGATGGCAGGTCTTTAGTTACCACTTAAAACAGCAGCACACAAAATTTTAACAAAAAGGGGGGTTATTTTCTACATCTTAGCAAATTAAATGTAAATTTACATATATATTTTCTCTTGAAATAAACTTTTTGTTCAAAAAATAAGTTTTAACTGATGATTTTTATCCGAAATCTAACACTTAGCAGCTAGGCTAGCTGTCTGTTCAAAAGAGATAGATATCTACAACCTACCTAGCTGCTAGGTTGGCCACTTCAATCTTGAACGCAGCCCTGATTTTACATATATAATCATTTATTTTGAGAGAATGCACCATCATTACACATTCCAGGTACATGCATTTATGCATTCACACATTGCTACTTTTAAGGAAGCTCTTAAACCTCATGAAAAATGTTTTAGACTCTACGAAAATTGTATCATAGAAAGTTGTTTGTATGAGTTTAATATCTGGTTCATTTTAAACATAGGGTACTTAATTGCCATAAAAAGTTCAAAGACAATGCAGTATTAGTGAACTGATATTATTGAACAGATGCATACTTAGGGAAAATACATGGAAATAATATTTTCAATTACTTCATCTTGGTCTAAAATAATGAAAAGAATACTTCAACCATTTAAAATTGTGTCATTTACTGTAAATCAATTTATGTTTATTTTGTATCACATCATAGGTTAATTAGATCACTCTAACTGAATAAGACAACCATAGAATTAGAACTCTTCAATGAGCAGTGCTTAGAGCTTCCTTAATTGTTCTGTACACTTTGAACCATCAAGAATAAATTTAAAGGATTCCATGCAACAAGACCTGGAAAAATACTTCCAGAGATCAAGAACTTGGAAAGATCCAGATATTGAGTATTAAATAAATAGGGGAAAGAAACACTGTTCATATTTTAAAATATTTTTTTTTATGTCATAATCATGAACATTAAATATTTAAAAGAGAATAAGAAAAATTATCAGTGCAAGCATCTACTTTTAGTTTTACTAAGTCATTAATGTTTAATAGCTTCATAAAATATAGCTAACAATATTCAGCAATATCTATAAGCTTTTTCAAATACTATCTTTATATCCATTCAGTTTTAAGAGATACATGTGAAATGACAGTCACCAAAAACCCACCAATACACTCACTTCAATACCAAATTTTTACTTGAATGTTTAAACTACGACACTGATCTTATTAGATGGTCAGGAGTGCATGGGGCATTAAAATCTCCTTTTTTTAACACATTTTAATTTTTTAAAAACAAGTTTAGCATCACTTAATAGTGTCTCATTATACATACACTCAAACTCACTTACATTGAACTCCCTTTATTTGGAAAAATCGGTTACTTTCAAATGGATTTTGTTTCCTCTAAAAAACTGGTACAGTTTCTTTGTAATAAATACTCATTTAGATTGAAATCAGTTAAATTGAAAAACTCTTTTAATTTGAAGTCATTTTGGCTTTACGGTGACCTACTTTTCAGTTGACGTTTTTCAAGGACCCAATTTGCAGCAACTTACAAAGTTATATGAATCAGAGGCCTTAAAATGTCCAAAA